TTCTGGTTGAATGAAGTGGCATTCCTTGGACATGTAATTTCTGCAGAAGGAGTTCGAGTGGATCCCCAAAAGATTAAAGCTATTCTGGAGTGGGTAGTTCCAAAGAATGTATCGGAAGTTAGAAGTTTTCTGGGGTTAACTGGTTATTATCGAAGGTTTGTTAAAAACTTTTCGATTATAGCATTACCCTTGACTAAACTGTTGAAAAAGGAAGTAAAATTTGTTTGGACTCAAGAATATCGAGAGAGTTTTGAAATGTTAAAGAAGATTCTTACAGAAGCTCCAGTGTTAGTTCAACCCGAGTCTAGAAAGAACTTTATAGTGTATAGTGATGCGTCTCATAGTGGTTTGGGATGCGTATTAATGCAAGAAGGCAAAGTGGTGGCCTATGCTTCGAGACAACTAAAACCGCACGAGAAAAATTATCCAACACAAGACCTAGATATGGCGGCAATAGTGTTTGCTTTAAAGATCTGGCGTCATTACTTGTATGGTGAAAAGTGCTACTTGTATACGGATCATAAGAGCTTAAAATACTTGATGACTTAGAAAGAGTTGAATTTAAGACAAAGAAGATGGGTGGAATTTCTCAAGGATTATTATGTGGTGATTGATTTCCATCCTGGAAAGGCAAATGTGGTAGCTGATGCCTTGAGTCGAAAGACGTTTGCAGCTTTGTGAACTCTTGATGCTAGATTATCGTTAAGAGAAGATGGTGCAATTTGTGCAGAACTAACGGTCAAGCCCGTATGGCTAAATCGAATTAAAGAATTGCAAGTTAAAGATGAAAAGTGTTTAAAGATGATACAACAGATAAAGAATGGAGAGGGTACGGATTATGAGATTAAGTTTGATGAGAACTTGTATTATCAAGAAAGATTAGTAATTCCAGATGATGATGAATTAAATAATGATTTGTTAACGGAAGCTCATTGTAGTCCATTGACAATGCATCTGGGAGGGAACAAAATGTATATGGATCTCAAGAGTCGATATTGGTGGCCGGAAATGAAGAAAGACATTACAGAATTTGTATCAAAGTGTTTGACTTGTCAACAAGTCAAAGCTGAGCATCAAGTTCCGTCAGGATTGTTACAACCAATTTCAATTCCTCAATGGAAATGGGAAAACATAACGATGGATTTTGTGACGGGTTTGCCTTTAACTCCGAACAAAAAGGATTCAATCTGGGTAATCGTGGATAGATTGACTAAGTCAGCCCATTTTATTCCAGTACGAACTGATTTCTCCATGGATAGGTATGCTGAGTTGTATATTAGAGAGATTATACGGTTGCATGGTGTACCTATTTCCATAGTTTCTGATCGGGATCCTAGATTCACATCACGGTTTTGGAAGTCATTACATAGAGCATTGGGAACTCGGTTAAACTTCAGTACAGTGTTTCATCCTCAAACCGATGGTCAATCCGAGCGAACTATTCAAATTCAGGAGAATATGTTAAGAGATTGTGTCATTGAATTCAAAGGATCGTGGGAAAGGTATTTACCACTTGCTGAATTTGCATACAACAATAGTTATCAGTCAAGCATCAAAATGGCTCCCTATGAAGCTCTTTACGGAAGAAGATGTCGTATGCCCTTGAACTGGTATGAACTTAAGGATCGAGAAGTTATTGGTCCTAAGTTGATTCAGAATACGGAAGAGAAAGTTCAAGTAATTCAAAATAATCTGAAAGCTGCAGTTGATAGACAGAAATCGTATGCTGATTTAAAAAGGAAAGAAATTAAATTTCAAGTCGGAGATAAAGTGTTCTTGAAAGTATCTCCGTGGAAGAAAGTATTAAGGTTTAGACGTAAAGGAAAGTTGAGTCCTCGGTTCATTGGACCTTATGAGATTACTAAGAGGGTAGGATCAGTAGCATATCAGTTAGTTTTGCCACCTGAAATGGAAACGATACACAATGTTTTTCATGTCTCAATGATTAGGAAATATAGATCTGATCCATCTCACATTGTGACTACTGAAGAAATTGAGATTTGACCATATTTAACTTATGAGGAGGAACCTGTTCAAATATTAGCTCACGAAGTCAAGCAATTAAGGAACAAGACTATTCCATTGGTTAAAGTCTTGTGGAGGAATCACAAAGTAGAGGACACAACATGGGAACGTGAAGAGGACATGAGGATTAAGTACCCCTACCTCTTTGCATAATGAAAATTCGAGGATGAATTTTCTTAAGGGGGGGAGAGTTGTAACATCCTCAATACCAGGTTAGTGACTAAATTGAAAAGTTTCAGATTTTGGTGATTAAAATAAAATGAATGAATAGTATAAAGATTTATATGTAAATGATTGTGTAGGATTGAATTGAAAGGAAGAAGGAATGGAAGGGAAAAAGAGTCATTTGCAAGGAAAATTAATTAAAGAATGGATAAGGATATATATGAGTACAAGTGGGTTGAAAAGGAGAGAACAGCAAAGGCTTCCAGAGTTCTCTTCTTCTTCTTCTTTCTTCCTTGTGCGTGTGAACCAAAGCCAAGGTAAGATTTCTGATTATTGAGTTTCTTGTTAAATTTAATATTGGGTTTTGATTATTAGATGATAACTAAGCTTAAGGAAAGCTTAAGTTATCTTAACATCAAAGGATGATTGAGTTAGGAGAGATTTAAGATTTGAAGTTCTTAAATGAAATCTTGGAATAGAGTTTATAACTAGAATTAAGAGTTAAATTTGACTTGTCATCAATCTAGTTAAGATATACGAAGTGTTAGAAGTAGAATTCAAACATGTTGAAAAATTGATGTAATTATTGAATTACATATGAATGATAGGATTTGGAGGTTTAAGATGAAATAAATAAGTATAGATTGGTTTAAGTATGTGTGCTAGAGTTAAGAATGAAAAAGTGGATTAAACATGAAGGATTTAATCCAAAATGAATGGATTTTCGGGTTCAAAAAGAGGATTCTGGGCAGAGTGCATCGATGCACATTCATAATGCATCGATGCATCAAGGTTAAAACCCATAAATTGTTTGAATATGTATCGATGCATTAGTAATGCATCGATGCACTCTTTTAAAATAAAAACATCGAATGCAATTGGTGCATCGATGCATAAGGAGTGCATCTATGCATCCCAGCAATAATACTACATCGAATACCTTTTATGCACCGATGCATCAGTAGTGCATCGATGCATACCTTCATTAAAAGATGAAATTGACTTTTCTCTTAGTCTAAAGAGTGAACCATTAGAATATATTAGTTATAATACTGATATAAATTCATGTGTGATTATGTAGATACTAAAAGTAAGCTTATTCCGGAACGATCAAAGGATTAGAATCGAATCAAAGCAAAGCTAAGGTGAGTGCATACTATATGTATATTATAATGGAATAAGACTTGTGATAAGTCTAATCCCTATGTTGATTTTTATAATACAGTAGTTGTGAACATGCATACATGATAATTATTGTGATACATGCATAAGACATATATATGTTCATGTGATATGATATGTGATATGACATGTGATATGAGAACATGATATGAAGTGATATGAGATACATGATCACAAGAAAAAGGATATGAGTACATGAACATATGAAATATAAGAATAATGCCCATAGTATACGATATGAGAACTATAGGTGTAATTGGCATGCCAAGAGTCGAGGGTATAATAGTCCTTCGGGATGTAGTGGTCCTACGGGATGAATACTGAACTAAGGTTCGGTGCCCCATGAGGGAATTGATACGAGCTGTGGTGACAATATTAGTGCATAACCTCAATGTACTCACATACATCTATTCTCAATAATATACTTGGGCAACAACAACAGCAATTGAAATACCGATTTACAGTGAAAGTGATACAAGAAGGTAAGTTTCGTATGTGCATTATATGATTATATATGTTATCGTGTTATAGATACATGCATATTGAAATGTCATGATCCAATGGTAAGTATGAACATTCATAAGTTTATTGTTGCATATTCATTTATTGCCTCACTAAGTCTATGACTTAGCGTGTAAGTGATTTACACGTAGGTACCAAGAATCAGGAAAAGTGAAAATAGAAGTAGCACGGACATCAATACTACTAAGAGATCAGATCAGAAGTAATTGACAAAGTATGTACTTGGTTATGTATAGAGTGTTGGCATGTAATAAGTGTTAATTACGAATACTCTGATCGATTTTGTATTTTATGGTCTTATGTAAATTAATGTATTTCGTTTTAATGAAAGTTTTAAAAATTCTCGGGATTTTTCTATAAGAGTCAAAGTTTGAAAAGTCAATGTGACACCTCAGACTTGTATTCGGGTCGGATATGAGTTAAGAGTGTTACAGCAAACCTTGGATTTCAACTTCACGACGAAGGATATCCAATTCAAGGCTTAACTTTACAACGAAGGGGTCATCCACTATTTCAACTTCACAACGAAGGAGCCATCCACGATTTCAACTTCACGACAAAGGATATCGTGCCCAATTGATCGACTTAATGTCACAACAAACACTATCAAGTCTCAAATCAAAGAAAACCAGACAAAAACTAGTTATCTTTTTCATCTTTATCATATTCTTGTTAACACTAAAATGTGCAAAGAGTGAGCTATAAACACCCGTTTTTGTCCGGATCTACAAAAATATTTTATTATATTATTTATTATTATTATTATTATTAATATTTTTTTTATTTTTTTCAGACCCCATGTTTACCTACCCACTATCCACCACTAAACAACTACCCACTCCATTACTTTCCACTTCCAGGGCAACATTTCCCATACCTCTCTGCCTGCACAACAGACTCGAAGTATATAAATTCTTTCCATTAAAGACAAATCAAAGAGGGGGGCCACGGGAATATGAGCTATTCTTCTCTCTTTGATTGTAAAAAAGCCTATGTGCTTTTAATATTTTAAACAGTCTTCTGATCCAAAATGGGGGGTTTGGTTTTCACAAAAAAAGGGTTCTTGAGATCTCACACTTGTCATCTTCTCTGCTTTCTTTCAGACTATGTTTCTCTCCCTACTCTCTTCAGATAAACCAGAAGAAGCTAAGGGAAAAATGGCTAACCAACAAAATGTAGTGGTTCTTGATGTGATATCGCGTGGAGTTAGGAATGTGTTGCCTCCATCATCTCTTCCAGTACCCGAGTCCTTTTCACCTCAAGACCTTAAGATGCTACTGATGAAGAAGTTGGAAACTGAAAAAGGAGGGGCTAAAATCAATGCCTGGTTGGATTCCATGAGAGCTTCTTCTCCAACTCGCATCAGGTCTGCTTCCTTACCAGAAACCGACGACCGAAGCTCCTGGATTGTTCATCATCCCTCGGCTTTGAGCATGTTTGAGCAAATAGTAGCTGCATCAAGAGGGAAACAGATTGTCATGTTTCTTGATTATGACGACACATTGTCTCCTATTGTCAAAGACCCAAACCGAGCTCTCATACACCCTCGGATGGTGAAGGCGCCAGGAAACATTCTCAGGTTCCTTGGAGTAACTCTTGATAAATGTGAGAATCTCATCGACTCTTTGGTTAATATTCTCATAAACTAGTTTGTTTCTAGCAAACCAAAGGACCCAGATTGTTATTGCAAATTCATTGTGTCTGTAACTGTTCTTACTAGAGAAAAGGCACTCAATCTTTTCATTAAAAGTATGGCTATTTACCTTTCCTGACCCCCGAATAACAAGCTTTCTCCACACATTGATAGCAAAAACACATTTCATGCTTACGTGTAACGGGTCTTCATAAAATTGATTGCATCGAGGACAAGCTGGGTTTGAAACCACCTACTTTAAGCACAGATTAGACATTTTGGAATGTAGTTCAGACTAAAATTCCGAAGGAGAATTTTGAAATTAAATAATTTATTTATTTATTTTATTGTACAATCTAACAATATTTTTGATTTTTTAAAGGAATTTTTAATCAATCAAAGGTAAGTAATTTGAATCGAATGTTTTAAATTTTAATTTTAATTTTTAATTTTTCACAATTAAGATAACCGATAAATTAATTGGTACCGAAAGGGCAGCTCAAGGGTGTTAATCATTCATTGACTGTAATCGACTCTCGAATCCGATACATTTCTGGTAAAACGCAGATCAGGTAAGATGGTGTCCGATCCACCTAAATATTTTTAAAGTGATCGATGACGACTCTAATCAAATTCATTCAAGTCGAAACATAATTATGGACCCAACCGAAAGACGATCTCGATAAGTTCCAAAACGATACCCAAATTTTTAAGACTTGAGAGTTGACCAAGTCAACCGCTTTACACATCACATGAATAAGGATAAAACTTATCCCACAAGGTCATATTCTTAACATTTTGTAAAACCAAAATATTTCATTTACCTGAGCTAAAAATAGGATAGGCGATGCATCAAGAGATCCATTTACCATGAATTACCGATTACCTTAAATTTCCAAAAGAAAGAAACCACACCAATCTTATAGTCAAATGAATATATCAGCTTCCACCTGATTGTACTCAGTATCCCTTAACGCAAATAAAACTCTGTTTAGCAATCGATTGTTCTTCCTTAAAAATAGTTTTGTTCCAAATAACAACAGTACCCCCCAGACCTTTCGATTGCATGTGACACTCAGAATTCAAAGACACCAATAACCAGGCAATATGAAAGTCAAGATCAGCCAAAGCTTCTTACTTCGACTCCTGCAGCATCCGCTTTAAGGTTCTTCAAGAAAATGCAAGGCAAGTGACAAGGATTCGCCCCATGACCTCTCACACTCCATGTAGTGATCCTTATCCACCCACCGTTAAACTCAAACTCGAACTCGAACTCGAACCCAAACCCCTAACTCCCAAAGTCTAATTACAAGTCAATTTTAGTGACACCAACTCTTCTAACATCTCTAGTTCATTATCACATACTAGAATCTCCAGTTTTTTATTTTTCTAAAATTAAGGTCAACTCTACCTCTCTAATTCTCGCTGGCCTCCTTTTCCTGATATCTTAATCAGAGAGAGACCTTCTCGAAAGTTTTGAAGACTCAAAATCTTGTTTCTTTAGTTTATTTTTTTCAGAGCTCGATCTCTCCTCCTAACATCCGCTTTCGAAAGAACTTTTTCCTAAAGTTTCAGATAAGACTCGTATTTCTTTGCTTTTTTGTTTCTAATCGTCTAGTCTAACTCAGAAAAAAAAAAAAGACTTAGCATCCTCCTTGAAACTGCACTTACGGGAGCCCCCTCAAAAAGATCCAAACTTAACTTTTCATTTGATCGCTTGGACATATTATCAAACATCTCTACTTCCCCCGTACTTTTACCTAAATCATCAAACATCTCTTCCCTTACAACTTGGCCCATTCCATCTATATCCTCTATAACTCTTAAAATTATAATGTGCACCCACTCCAAACTAACATCTTCCACTCTTTCACCCGAGCCATCAACTTTACTAGAATCTAACAGCCCACTATAGACTTCGCCAGGCCTATCTTGACCTAGCACTATAACCGAAGTCCAGCTTTCAAATGCATCTGCTGCGACTCTACCCCTTCCCTCTTCAAGCACACTATGGTTTTGTCTAAAATGACAACGTTTTTTACACTGAATTTTAAGAATATATTAATTTTATCACTAAATTTTTAAATAATTTACTTTTTGATACTTCACTTTTTATTCCATAATTGGCAACCGATTAGTGCTCGCCACCAGTTGTCATTCACGAAAAAATTAGAACCAAAACATTTACATTTCATTCCTCTTACTTCTCCTAGAATTGATTTTTCGCGAAACACACTCAAAAATTTTAAATTAAGGGTTTGAGGACTTTCTTGTGTTTGTTCGAAAATCTGAATTGTAAGAAGCATAATTTTGAGAAACAAACAACATACCTGAAAAATAACTTCATTGAAAGATCATAAGAAGATACCAATGTATTAATATGTTGAACTTTTAAATGACTTTTCATTTATTTTAATTGAGTTTCATGGAATAATCTATCCTAGGATAAGAAAGAGGGGTGAAATACAATGATTTTGTTATCGATCTTGTTATGAAATACGATTGGTAATCGACAGTGATTGGCTGTAGACGACGACCGAGAAAGTGTAGTGCCAAAAAGTTAATTATTTAAAAAATTTAGTGAAAAAAATAAATATTTAAAATTCAATATTTAAGATGACATCATTTTAGTTATCAATTGTTGTTATAAAAACGATGTTGTTTTGTCAACATCATTACACTGGTAGAAATATCTATCCACATCGACGAGCCTTCAAAGTTTATGAACTTACTGATATAATTAAAATTAAAACAAAACCTTAATGTTATAATTAAAGAAATTAAAAATACAATAATATAAATTGTACAATATCTCGCGTAATTTATCCTAATTTTAATACATTTACGCGTTGGCTCTATATATGTGTGTGTTGTGGTGAAACATACGCTTTTATAGTGCCTTTTCGTTGGATCTGAAGTTGCAGAAAGCTAAAGCTTAGAGTTTTCGTGGAAACTCTCACCATAAAGCCTTCATAAAATCTGTGAAGTACCCGTTTTCAGGGATTGTTGAACAAATAATGGGTCGGTCTTGGCTTCTCAAACTGCTGCTTCTTTCAGTGCTTTTGGCTCTCTCCTTCCCTCAGGGTATATATTCATTTTTTCCCCAAGGCTTTCTTGTTTTATCATTTGATATACATCTGTTTTTTACTCTCATTTCTCAGGATATGGTAGAAAAGTGTTGGAGACTGTTGAATTTGAAGAATTCACTTCTGCTCATTTTAAGGTTTGTTTTCCCTATCTTTCCTTTAAACTTTCAACACTGATATACATATTACAGTTTTTAAGAGCGCAAAACTGGTTTTTTTTTGGTATAATACTAAAACAATTCCTAAAGTTGATCAAAATGATAATTTTGACCCCTATATTTTTTAGTATTTTGGCCCTAATATTTTATTTTACAATAAAAAATCTCCTAACATTCAACTAAATAATCATTTTGACCCTTATTCATTTTTTTTAAAAAATATTTTGTCCTCCAACATTTTATTTTAGAGAAAAAAATCTTATTTTGGAATATTAGTTATTTGTCAACTAATGATTTTCAATTTATGGAGAAACGTTTTTCTATAAAATGAAATATTGGAGATAAAAATCTCGAAAAAGAGAGAATATAAGCTTGATATTGTATTTTTTTTTCGGCAAACAGAAACTTCCAGAACCAAGGAGAATGACTGAAATAATGGATTATGAAGATCCAGGGCCAAATACTAACCCAAGAGCTGGTTACATAATTAGCCCTCCTCCACCAAGCTAAGTTGAGATGTTTTAGATAAAGCAGAAGCATTAGATTGAGCTGCATAGCATTTCACTATGTTGCTGTCTTTCTTTCTTTGTTCTGACAAAAGACTCTGATTTTTACCTTTCGTCATGTTACATGTGCCGTGCAATCTCTGGCATAGATATTATATTATATTTAACCTTAAATTTATTAAAAAATGGCTTTCAAACTTGATGCTAGGAGATAAGTGTGGATCAGGAAAGATGTGCCCTTCTTTTAGGATATAATATGATGACTTTAAGATAAAGTACATGTGGCTGTCACAAGGCTTGAATTGATATGAAAAATGTTGGGATTGTTGCTAAATAAATTCCCTCGTGTGCATGGCACTTGTGTGGGGGGACAAATTGGGTCAATTTATCTTTAGTCGGCCATTAATTGTTTTAAAGACAAATTTTTGCATTAGTCATCAATTCAAATTTTAATGATGTAAACGAATTAAATTAGATTAAAAAGGATTATCCTTGTAATAAAAGTTTATAATATTTAATTTTAGTTGATTACATAATAAATTAAATATCTATAATTATATAAAAAATATGTGATTTTATAAGATTACAATTTTAATCTGTTCATGTCGCAAGGCACACATATAGATAGACAAGCCTGGATGGAGATAGTAAAATATGTTTAATAATGAAAATCTTTTAAAGATGGAGAAGGTATTACATTCCTATAAACGACGACGACAACAACCACCTCCCGAATGCATGAGCCGCCTAACAATCGAAGACAACAACAACCTAGAAAAACCATATCAAAAACACTAAAGGCTTCTTATTATGACACCAACAGCAAAACGACGTAACCTCTTTAAGAATCTTTAAGAGATAAAACACGCCCCTCACAACGAAGCTCTAGACTATGAGATCAAGCGCAGTCGAACTCTAATAACGCCAATTCCTTCACTGCCTCTGACTCATCTCCAAAAATTTGGATCCCTAATTTTTTTTCCCCATAAACAGAGTCATCTCAGCCTCTTTTATCGCTGCCAACCGCTTTTCCTTGAGATCTGAATTGAAAATCGACCTTCTTGATAGCTCCGACAACTCTAAGTCCTTTTTCTTCAGATTATGTTTTCCGACCACTCAGTCTCTTTTCCTTCGATTCACAGTCGACAGAACTTTACCCTGAAGATCTAGTAAAGACTCATACTTCCTTGCTTTCTTACTTTTTCCCACCTGAACTAATTCAGGAAATAATGATTCAAATGAATCAACCCCGTTAACGTTCTTACA